AACCAGCTATATCCTGGGGAAGGAGTCTCCTTCTAGAGTTTTTTGATAGATGGAAATTGATTGCTTTGGGTCGTCCTGGTGGTGTCTTTGGACGCTCTCCATGCCAGCTGGAGACATTTTACACCTCTGCATGTTGTTCTTAAGGTCTTCCTAGCTCCTTAAATTTTATATTGTTTTCCATTTCAAAGTTAAGTGCAATAATGGTCGATATTTTGCTTTTCCATGCTCCAGCAACAGTCACTTCTAATGACATTATGATCATTTTCATATGCGAGCACTCTTCTGTTACACTCTTATAATCTCTAAAATAGAACAGAAGACTATAATCTCTTCTGTTATACTGCTTACTCTGTGTGTCTTGAACACCTCCTACCCTGGTGCTACCATGTCCTGCTGTCACTTCTCCAAGTTTCTGCTACTCCTGTTACGTAAATACCCATCTTTATAGCTAGATGCTATAGAGCACCTTATGTTCTTGGAATGTGAGCATCTTCATAGAAAACAGTAGCAGGGTGGGTTTGGTTTTTGATGCCTTCTTTAAATGAGACTTCACTTGTCCCAAAAGTTCTTTGTCAGCTCCAGTTTCACTCTGGTCACCGCCTGCCCTTTTCTTCTCTTGAAGGGAGCAAGCTGCTCCTGCTCAGAGCACATGCATCTGATCCAAGCTCTCCTCTTGGAGACCATAAACCAGATACCGCCACAATCAGACTCTTTGGCTTTGTGCTTGGCACTGGGAAGGGGCATTTGGGTGACCACCACAAAAGCCCTGATCTTCAACTTCTTAATAGTCTCCAGAGTCTCTATCTTTCCCCCGCTTCTGCTACCTCCTCCCCAAACTGGTGCAAGAGCCTGTCCAGGTGCCTTGTGATGCCAGTCATCTTCTATCAGAAGTTCAACTCTTCACACACAGATGTTTGAATCTCCCACATCTGTACCTGCCTCCTGAAAGTATAACCTAGCCTGCCTACCTTCTCCTGGCAACCACCTCCCTGAAGGTATAACCTAACTTCAAAAGCGACCCAGCCCCACCTTTGGGGTGCTTTTCTGCTTGTTTTGTGATGCTTTGAGGCCAGGAAGCTCTCCTCCTGCTAAGGAGCAGCACTCGGGTGTCTGTCTCAGTGGTGAGGCTGCTCCAGGACAGCCCTGAGGCTCTCACAGTCACAGCAACTCCACCTCTTTGAGCTCCCCCACTTCATGTCAGGCTCAAGAGCAGCACTGCCTCCAAGGATCACGAGCTGATTCAATTGCACACAGCAGCTGACTGCAGGGCACAAAATTAGATATCTGGCACTCAGTTCGGGAATTCCAAAATCCTTGGCTCTATTTTTACCTGCATTAGTTTGCCTCAAAGGCATAGATTTGGTTCTGCATTCAGTTGAGCTGCACGACTTCCCCTTTGAGGTCCCTGGCCCTTCCAGAGTCAGCAGTCAAAAACCTGCCGACCTCCTTTCCATGCAGCTAAACTCCTAGAGCTCAATTCTTATTTATCCTGGTGGTCCACACTTCCCAGGCTCAATTCACACCCTACCGGGACTCTCCTTGCTCGGCCAAGGGCTACAACACAGCAGCAGGAGTTTGAGCTTACTGTCAACTCTGACACTTTATTCCCAAGCCAAGAGCCCTGCAGACTTGAAAAAACTCTATAGTATGCACTTTGCTCTCTAACCACAGCTTCCTTATGTAGCAGCTCTGAATAACTGAAGTTTTAGCTTTTCTTTGGGTAAAGGTAATAGAGTAACAGTTGAAATTAAGCAACACAAGGAAATTGCCCCATGTTCAGGTCTCAAAAGCAAGTTCTGGTCTCCAGAAACTTGAGGTTTATAGAAAAAACACAGTGACCATCACTTTGACAAAATCATCTACAGGCTCCACACACCACAAAAACCTGGAGAGATCTGCTAGCTTTGATCCCAAGTTTGATCCCAAGCTTTGGAGGACTTCAGCCCAGCTCAACACCCACAAGCAGATCCTGGTAGAGTCCTTGGAACCTTCCCTCCTGGGTTTTCCTGGAGCACCAGATGTTGTTTCTCACTTTCTTTGTGCATGTTGGCAGCATGGGGTAACCTCTTCTCTTCTCATGCAGCAATCTGACAGTGAATATTGCACTTTTTTTTGCTTTTTGCAATTGGCAGAGAAACAAGGCATCTCTCATGAGCAAGTAGCTTTATGTTGGCCACTGTATTTAGTGGCTAGCTCTGAACTAGTCTCTGGAGGAGATGATTTATATGTTTGGCTTCCAAATGTTCCATGTTTGTCAGTTCCACCATTTCATTTGCAACAAACAAGCAAATAGCCTACCCCCATGAAGACCGTCTTTCCTTTTTTTTTCTTTTTTTTTTTTCTTTTTTTTTTTTTTTTTTTTTTTTTTTTTTTCTTTTTCTCTGGTTTAGCTTATGTTTGTCCAGAGGAATAAAGAACATAACCAGTTCTTAGCGATATCAGTACGCTTCTTAGGAATCTGCACCAGCCTAGTCAGTGTTACACCACCTTTCCTTCTGAGCCTCGTGCCTCTGAGCCTGCGCAGCTCCTGCGTGATGGTGCTGGTGGTGTCCCATGTGCCACGACATGCCCACCCACACACCCCACCGCAACAAACCCTGTGTGATGGTGCTGGTGGTGTCCCCATGTGCCACAACAACATGTCTACCCACCACCCACACA